GCTGAATCACAAGTTTGAAGCCAGCCTGGGCTACAGGAGACCCAGGTGGGTGTAGGGGAGAAGCTGAGATAGCAAGATGATGGCTCAGCAGGTAAAAACTGTTGCAGCCAAGCCTGGCATCCTAAATTCAATCCTCAGGAATCAACATGAGGACTTGCAGCATGCATGCATGCACGTGTGTGCATGCACAGAAATAAATAAATGTAATAATAATTACTATTTTTTAAGAAAGGAAAGAAAAAGGAGAGAATGTAGAACCCAGATGGATCCTGCTTCTTGGCATTCTTAATCTTAAAACTAGAGCCTCCAAAGCCCCTGGGTATGCCCCTGGCACTCTGGAAATAGTGGTTGAATGACTGAAAATGGGCAGTGGGGCATGAACAGGGAAAGGATACAAAGGCAAATGGAAACGAGGGGCCATAGCTCAGTGGAAGGTAGAAGGCTTGTGTATAAGATAAGGCTCTGGGTTTGATCCTCAGCACTGAGGGGGAATATGAAAAAAGAATAGGTAGAAGGCAATGGACCATTGTTTTCATAGACTTCAGAGGCAATTGTATGTGCACACGCACACATATGTGTGCCGAGGCCAATTTTCAAAATAGCTGAAATAACTTCCATCAACAGTCATCTATTATTTTTTTCCAAAACTATTTCTTGTACACACGCATACACACACACACACTCACACACACTCACATACACACACACACAGACATATACACACAAATATACACATACATACACACACAGACACATGCACACAAATGCACACACTCATACACACACTCACACACACACTTATACACACGGACATATAAACACACCCTCACATACACACACAGACATATACACACAGATATACACACACTCACACACACTCACATACACACACTCACACACAGACTTATGCACACAAACACACACTCACATACACACACACATTCACACACAGACACATACACACAGATACACACTCATACACACACACATACACACACACACACACAAACACACAAACACTGGGTCCTACGATCCTTCTCCGAAATGCCTGTGTGCTCAGGGCCCCAGCCAAGCACTTGCTCTGAGACTTCACGGCACCAACGCCCATCTCCGGATATTCCTTCTTTCCCAGCTCCTTATGGTCTGGTCTCTATCTTAGGCTTGCCTGTGACAGACAGGCCAGGCCAGGCACCCTAGAGGCCACTCCCCCTCCTCAGCCTTGGTGTGTGTGGGGGTGCTGTCCCCTCTGAAACTGATCCCTGGTCCTCTGTCTTTGGATCTAATTTGTTTCTCTGTCTGCCGGAGGTTTTTTTTGAGGGGTGGGGTAGGGGTCTTGCCAGGAGACTCAGTGGTCACAGGTGACATTAATCATGTCTGCATCCTCTGAGAGAGAGAGAGAGAGAGAGAGAGAGAGAGAGAGAGAGAGAGAGAGAGATAGGATATCAGAGAGGTGACCAAGCATTGCTGCATGATTCAAATCACCTCAGCATTGATCGAGTTCACCCTGAGTTTCAGAAATCACCACAACTGGTTTTCTCCTTCACCCAACGTCAACAGGCCCTTAAAGGGGCAGGATCCATTTACACCAGGCCTGGGGTGCATTAGCTGGTTCCTCTCCCATTAAATGTTAACTGCTAGATGCGTCTTGAACAAATTCGATTTACTGAAGATCTTCTTCAAAGGTCCTGAGAAGATTAGCTGCTGTGTCTCTTCCCCTGGGCAGGGGTGGGAGTAGGGGGGTACTTTCCTGGTTTGGCCCCAGTCTCTGACCTGCAGGGTGAGAAACGGTCCTGGGTGGGGTTTGACGGGAATCCCCATAATTGTTTAAAAGAGACATAGTTTCTCAAAAGTGTAACACGGCAGAAAACAAAGCGCCTTCTACGGTCAAAATAACCATGATGCCTCCTGCCCCAGAATGGGAGGAAAAAGAGTGCTTCCCCCAACCCCTAACCCAAAATACAGTTTTCTAGAGAGAAAGTTTCTGCACAGAGATGTTTCCAGAAGCTCAATGACAGCACACACCCAATCTGTTGAAGAGAACACTCAGGCTCTGCCCTCAAGACAGGATTTTGCTTTGTAGCAACGGTTGGCCTCAAGGAGGATACAAGCGTATACCATCGTGTTGAGCTTCAAAACCCAACTGGCTGTAAAGTAGAGAGAACGGAAGGGCAGGGGCAGAAATAACTGGGGCTCAAGATTCAGTGGTTTCCCTAATCCATGCAGCACCCGACTTGCAGTCAAGAGGCTTAGAAAAGCTACATTGTTTCATGAAGATCGCAGCCTTCTGGTTTCCTAATTGTGAGACTCCTGAGCCAGGAAGCTAAATGCAGAAACCTTACGGTGAGCTGGGGTCCCCACCATACTTGATAAGTATATGTGTGCTGTATTGCGGGTGCCCCCGGTGTGTGGATCTGTTTGCCTTGAGAAGTTTTAGAATGTCCATGAACTCAGAAGCTCTACGCTCGAGGAGTGATAACGGCCTCAGGAAAAACTGAGAGTCAATTTGCTGCCTGGACCCGACATGGACATGTTTTTTTTTTTTTTTGGTTTTTGGTTTTTCGAGATAGGGTTTCTCTATGTATCCCTGGCTGTCCTGGAACTCACTCTGTAGACCAGGCTGGCCTCGAACTCAGAAATCCACCTGCCTCTGCCTCCCAAGTGCTGGGATTAAAGGCGTGTGCCACCACCGCCCGGCTGGACCCGACATGGTTGTGTAAAACTGTAATGCCAGTACCACCAAGGCGGCGGAGGCAGGAGGATCACAAGTTTGAGAAAAAGCTTCTTTCAGAATAAAAATGACACAGGAGGTGTGTGTCTCCAGGGTAGATGCTTGCCTAGTATTCGAGAGAAGCTCAAGGCTAGGCTAAGATACCAACAAAACAAAATCTCAAGCATTTAGTGTCTCTTACAGTGGGCGTGATGGAGTCATTGGAATTCTTGATTTGGGAAGTAGAAGCAGAAGGATTTCTGCTAATTCAAGGCTGACCTGGTCTGCATGGTGAGTTCTCAGAAAGCCAGGACTATACAACTACATATCTGGAACACTCCCTCCCCCCACCCCACCCCCAAGATAAAATGAAATTAAAAAGTAAAAATCAAAAAGGCCAGAGATAGTTCAGTAGGTAGAGTGTTTGTTTGCCTAGTGTGCAAGGCTGGGGTCCCTGGGTTTAACCCTCAGCTTTGCAGAGTTAGGTACATAGGTGCAGCCTTGCAATCCCAGCACCTAGGAGGGAGAGTCAGAGGATCAGGAGTTCAAGGTCACCTTTCACTATGCAGTTAGTTCAAGGCTACCCTGGGCTACTCAAGATCTGTCTCAAAAACAGAAAAAAAAAAAAAAGTGACTCTGGACTAGAATGAAAAAGAAATCAGGAGAAAATGAGGAGGGGGGAACCAAACTAAACAAACAGAGGAGCAGGGGGCAGTTGGGGGGGCAGTGGGGAGATCCAGTGTGTTGGCAACATGTATATTTACAGAGAAAGAGAGCCCAGAGAGCCCAGGAGAAGAATGGACAGGAAGACACAAGGTGAAGGGGTTGACAGGGAGAAGCCAGGCCACCATGGAACTTGAAATGTGACATCCCTGGTCAGGCTCTTTGTCTCCACCCCACCCCACCCCCAGAGCATGGGATTTCTATCAGCTTCAGCAGGCTCCAAGTCCCTCTGTTAGTCTGGCGCCCTTGGGGACACTGTGGGGATATCACAAATTAGACATCAGGCCTGCAAGGCGGATTACATCAGGGAGGGCTGGACTGTGGAGAAGATCAAAGACTTGCCTGGCAGGGCTCCCAGTGGGGTCCCCGGGCCTGAATTCCTGGCTGAACCCCTAGGAAACATTCTGATGTGCAGATAGAAGCTGGACCAGTCCATGCGGGCTGCCTCCTTCCCCCCCTCTGCCCCTCCCTCCGAGGCTGGTCCTCTTCCCCTGTGGTCTTCCCTGGCCTGTCCACATGGGTGAAGAGACACTTAGAAAGCCAAAGAATAGCAGAACAGAGCCAGGCATGGAGCCACATGCCTGTGACCCCAGCACTTCAGAGGCTGAGGCCAAAGGACTTTGAATTTGGCTATCCTGGGCTACATCTTGAGAAAACAACAAAACACAAAATAAATACTGTGACATGAAAACAGAACTGAACTAAGCCTGACGTCATGACACACACCTGTAACCCAGGCACTCAAGAGGAAGAGGAAGGAAGATCAGGAGTTCAAGGCTAGACCCAGCTACATAACAAGTTTCTGGGCTTGCCTGGGCCACCTGAAAACCCCGTCTCAAAAAAAAAAAAAAAATCACAAAAACCTTAGAAACAGGAGGCCAGGCCCTGCTACTCCTCAGCTTCCTGTGTGACCGAGGGACATTCTAGCAGCAGTAGGGAGTTCCTGCTTGCAAAGTTGAGAATATTCCCTGGGATAAATAAATAGATTTATTTGTTTCTCGAGCCTTGGTCTCCTGTGTGTAAAACAGAGAGCATGTAAACACGTCTCTAGCCACATTGGCTGCTGGCTTTCAATATGATCACAGTCGCAGAACACTGAGCCCAGATCCTGGCACGCAGTGAGCCCTCAGCACATGGTGCACCACCGTGTTTGTGAGACACAAGCCAGATTGCCATCACAGACAGGGGCTAATATATGGCATCTTGCTCTGGCCGAGAATTGGAACATTGTGATTAGAAGCTAGCAGAGAGGGGACAAAAAGAACCTGTCCTCAAGTGCACAGTGACAGACCACAGACGCTCCTGGCAGCCAGAGGGGCTGAGGAAGGACAGGGCAGATCATATTAATAACAATAAATTATATCTACACCGTGATTCATGCCTCTCATTATGCTATCTTACAGGACCACGGGAAGGGTGTAGCAACCTTATTTATTGTTTGTCACGGGTATGTGAATGTCCTGTAGTTATTGGAGATGATATCGTTTTTTGTTTTTTTTGTTTTTGTTTTTTTCAGGCTGTTGGTTGGGATTCCTCTTACTGTCCAAACTAGGAAAACAAAGGCTTAGGAGAAAGCTAGTTTTTCGCCCAAGTTAAAAGTTGGAGCCAAGATTCACATCTGGGAATCGGTGAGATGGCTCAGTGGGTAAAGGCACTTGTGGCCACTGCACAGGTGACCAGAGTTCGATTCCCCGGGATTTCGGTGCTGGAAGAAGGGAACTGGCTCATGAAAGTTGTTCTAGGACCTCCCCACATGCCGTGAACCCCATGCCCCATACTCACCCACACATTAGATAAATGTTCAAAACAAGACAAATGAAAGATTCTAAACTGTGTTTTCTAGCCCAGCTAACTCCCTGAAGTCCTGTCTGTGTGACATCTTCTCTGCCAGGCCATAACTCCCCATGGGCAGGGGTTGGGGGGTGCAGTGGTCTTAGGATCTTGAGTTTCTTTCTTCCATGATGGATGGATCCGCTTTTGTCTCCTCGTCAGCTAAGGGCAAAAGAATCAAGGAATCCCTCCCACGTCTGGACCTGAAGATGAAGGACTGTGATCCCAGCTTCTCAGGAGGACAAGGAGGGAGGAGTCCCAGGCCACTCTGGGCAACCTAGAGACTCTCAAAAACCAAAACAAATCAAAAGGAATGGAAGCTTCAAGGAGTCACAGAGCAGTGGATGACCTACTCAGCACAGGCTGTCTCATACCCTAGCACCCAGTAGGTAGATTTCCTGCTTGTCCTGTTCCCTGGCATCCAATATTGGCAAAAGAAACAAAGCCCCCAACCTCCTCTGCCTCTCTCCTCACTCCCACCTCTACTCAGAGTCTATGTTATGGTTAAGATGCCCCTAACCCCACAGACAGCTGTCCTTTGCACTCGGCCGGGGTGGGGTGGGCATGATCCCCATTCTGACCTGTACTTCCTCTCTCTGTTGTCGGGCTTCTCTGTGTCTTTGAAGCCAGTAACAGTCTAGTTGGAATTGCTCACCGGCTCTCTCCACTCTCACCATCTTCACTCTGAAACCCAAAGCCTGCTCAAGACCCAGTCAGTTCAGAGCTCAGGTTCATGTGGCTTTGGAGGGGGTTCTATCGGTCTAGAAAATGTGTGTAGCTGGCAGACAAGAAACTGGCCCGGGGAAAGACGACCAACGAGCCCCCCTCGACCTTCCCCATCCCGTGATTTCCTTTGTCTCCTATCCCAATCCCAACCCACTTCCCTACCCCCAGCCTATGAGCCTGGAGGCTTCCCAATAAAACGGTATTGTAACTTTATCTAAGACGAGCGCAGTCCGTGTGGAATGGGTAAGGTGTAATTAATAACAGAAAATAAGGCTGGCCCCTCTTGACCTCTGACCCTCGTATAAATGTCTTAAGTTTTATGACAACTGAGCACAAAATTAGTGTGTGCGGGCGTGCATGCATGCATGTGTGAGTGTGCCAGCATTAGGGCTGAACCAATACCCTTGTCTGGGGAGTGTTCTCTCACAGTGCTGGCTGGAACTAGTTTGTGTTTCTCAGGAGACTGGCCTCTCGCTGAACCCAAGGGCTGCCTGAGCATCATCTGAGATCTGAGAGTGAGGATTCTGCCTCCAGTCTCCAAGGACCCTGTGTCTATGGACGTGTATGGTTTTAGATGAGGGTTATGTGTACACTCCAGCATTCCAGAGGCTGAAGCAGGAAGACTGGGAGCCACAGGCTATCTTGGACTACAGAGGGAGACCTTATCTACAAAGGAAACACCTGACTCGTGGTACACACCTGTGATCCCGGCACTCAGGAGACAGAGGCAGGTGGCTCTCTGTGAGTTTAAGGCAAGCCTGGCTTACATAGCCAGGGATTCATAGAGAGAGACCTTGTCTAATTTAAAAAAACAAAACGAAACAATTGTCTTGTAGGTGATCACACACACATGTACACACACTTCTTTTAGTTCATTGTGATATTCCCTAGCACTAAGGGGAGGGTCCCCAATAGCCATGTGTGTCTTTAGCAGTAAGGTTTCATTGGTTTGAAGCTACAATCCTTTGAGTCTCAGGATTTCATGGTTAAAAACAGAACAAAACAAACAAACAAACAAACCTCTCCCAAAAGCCAGCTTATCTAAGGGAGAATGAAAGCTGTGTGTTTGGCCAGTTATGGTGGTACAGGGTTGTCATCCAGCACTCGGAGGCTAACGTAGGAAGAGTGTGAGTTTGCGTCTAGCCTGGCCTACGTAGCAAGACCCTGTCCCCATAAAGGAAAGAAAGGAAGAGATGGGGAAAAAACGTTCCACAGGGTATGTGGCAGGGCTTGGACAACCCGGGAAATGGAGTGTCCACAGACTGCGGTCTCCCTGGAACTGACAGAGAACCGAGTCATGGAGCCACTGTCTTTCAGAGTTGAAGGATGCCGTAACCGGTGTGGTTTATCTTAATGGTTCCCCCACTATGTTCGTTTAAAGTAATATTATCTTGCTTTAAAGGTCACTGCGCTGGCCGGAGTTATTGGATTCCCATGATTCATTCTGTGGAGATATTCAACTTTTTTTTTTGTGGCGTCCTCGGCATCAACATCTGGGCTAATGGAAGCCACACCAGCCACGAAGTCAGTAGCTTTGAATCCTCCGGGCCTGAGGAGGCCTGGGCAGGGTGGACCAGACGCTTCCTTTTGATCAGCAGTGACGAGTGAACTAGAGGTCACACATGTCCGGGGCCTGTGCTTTTACTCCTACCAGACAGCAGCAACTGGGCCCTGTCCTGTTCCCTCCCACCACGGCCCTGGGAGTTGAGTTTCCTAAGCTTTCCGTCTCTGGGTAGACAGTCCCAGGACCTCAGGGCAACTGAGGGACTTTCTTTTGGAAGATCCCAGCCCTAAATCACCGAAGGAGACGACTTTGCCCAACCCTAAGCCTCCCCCCTCCCCCCGCCTCCCCCTTCCATCTTTGGTTCCTGCAGACATGGATGAACTGATTCCTTCTTCCCCGGGGGAATTCCTGCTCCTGGATGTCAGGTGACAGGCAAATTTGGAAGGAGATCTCTTTCTCCAGGGGGAGTCACTGGGTTGAGGAGTTCTTTTATGGGCATGCCTGAACTCTGGAGGGCCCCCAAACTGACAGCCACCTCTGCCTGCTAAATTGATCATATATTTTTCCTGACATCATGTCACCTGTGACAAATGTGTTTGCTGGTCATATTTTTACGGTACTTCTTCCAGGAGGGGTGGGGCTCCACCGAGGGTGTGTGTGTGTGTGGGGGGGGGTTGGTGTGATTTATCTGGATGGAGAGGGCAGGGAGATTGCTTATCACTGGACTTCCCAATCACCACCTCCTCTCTTTTGTTTGGGGACCTGAATGACAGCGTGGCCTGGTCTGGTTAAGGAGTTTGGGAAGTTCTGAGGGCTTTGAGCCTCATAAAAGTCACAGTTTCCAGGACATGGGGACTAGCCACCTCTTCATTTGGCATCCTCCTGGGTACTTCATCTCCCTATAGGTGGGTCCTGGAATTTGTTGCCAGGGTGAGAAGGTCTTAATCGGTGTAAGGTATTTCCAACTAGAAGTTTGAGGTCTGGCCGTGTAATGAATTGAACAACATCTTAAACAATAGTGCTCCAAATCAATTTAATAAAAATATTCATTGGGGATGGAGGAAGGAAGGCAGAAAAGGAAGAATGTGATTCCACCTTTATTCCATATCAGGGACTAGCCAGATCTTTCTAGACCTTTCTGTATTCTTTATATTCCCCCCACCTCACACCTACCTAGTGCTGGGAATGGAACACATGTTCTTAATTGTGAGGAAGTCAGTTGTGCCCAATCTACAGATGTGGAAGTTAAGGCTGAACTGTCAAGCCCTAGGAGGACCTGTGTAACATCTCAGGTAACATGGCTGTTATCAAGGAGTGTTCCCAATAGACTTGGTGACACGCCTTAGTTAGGTATGTAGCTGAGAGTTAAGGGCTGGTGAAATGGCTCAGTGGGTGAAGGGGGGCTTGCCTTCAAGCCTAGTAGTATGAGTTCAATCCCTGGGACCCACATGGCAAAATGAGAGAGCCAACTCCCATGGGCTTCCAGCTTCATAAAACTTACAGACCCGGGGCCTTACACAGGCTAGGCAAGAGCTTTACCACTGATCTGCAATTCCAGAATTTTAAATAATTTTTTTTGTGTGTGTCTGAAATAGGCCTTGGTCTGTACCATGGCTGATCTGGAACTCAGTATGTAGCCTAGGCTAGCCTGAACCCTGTGATGCTCTTGCCTTGACCTCTTAAGGGCTGAGGATTCTGGGAATGCACCACCACACATGGCTCTAAATCCTAATTTCTTGAGGCTTAAACTGTGTCACATTTAGGATGATGTCTCATGGGTTCCTTAATGCCTTCTTGCAGTCATACTAGGTACATACTTACACACACACACACACACACACCTCTTCAATCAGCTTCACTTCAAAGTGTCAACATCTTGTGTTTTTGCCTGTGACCCATCAAATGCAGGAGGTCCACCCCTCACCATTGACTCTGTTTAGCAAGAATAGAATCCAAATTCCCTAAGAATTACTTAGGGGAATATAGAATGTTTATTTATTTTGTTATTGTTATTTTGAGGCATGGTAGGTAGCTCAGGTTGGCCTTGAACTCACAACTCGGCTGTCTCAGCCAGGCTCATCAGAAGGGGATCACTTGATTGCTGAGGACTGTAACTATCTAAGTGGCCTTTCACTTCATCTGAAGGAGTGGAGTGCCTTGGACACTTGGACTGCCAATCAAAGAACCTGAGGTGGGGTTCTGTGCCAGTCTGGGCTCACCCAGGGATATCAGGCTTCTCACAGAGCAACCCAGAGCTCCAGGAGCAAGCGTGTCAGTGAACACACAGAACTCAACGTTTCCTTCTATCACCTGTCTGAAAAGCATGCATAGCCCCTTTGGCCAGAATCTGTCTGCTGAAGAAGTCAAAACTCACCCACAGTCAAAGGATGAGACTCCAGACCCACACAAATATGGAGGAAGGCTTTCAAACCGCCAGAGATAAATATATAAAGCTCAATTTCACTGTTAAAAAATACGGGGTTGGAAAGACTCCATGAAGCTGGGCAGCGGTAATGCGTGCCTTTGATCCCAGAACTTGGGAGGCAGAATTAGGCAGGTCTCTGTGAGTTCAAGGCCAGCCTACTGGAGAAAGAACAAGTTCCAGGACGGCCAGAGAGATACACAGAGAAACCCTGTCTAAAAACAAAAACAAACAAAAACAAAAACAAAAATGGAAAAACCAAAAAATATCAAACTAAATCGAACAACCTCCCGCCAACAAAACCAAAACAAATAAACAAACAAAAAACTAAATAAACTAAAGAAAGAAAGGCTTCATACTTAGTGCATGAAATATCAAGTAGGGGATCAGCTGAGTCCCCAGCTAGGGAAGAAAGAAAAAATATCTGGAATGCAGACATCACCGAGTGTGTACACTGCGTGCTTAGCAGAAGTCTCGGTTTTGATCCTAGCTCCACATAAAACCAGGCAGGGTGGTGCACACCTGTCATCCCAGCACTCAAGACGAAGAGGCAGGAGGATCAGACGTTCAAGGTCACCCTCAGGCACATAGAGAGTTTAAGGCTAGTCTGGGCTACAGAAGAAGACCTTGTTTATAAACCAAATTCTACCCCAAACAAAGCAAGGCTGGAGATATAATGCAGTCTGTAAGGCGTTTGATTCCCGGAACCACAGTGAAGAAACAGGACTTGGTGGCAAACTCTTGCAATCTCAGCTGTAGGGAGGCAGGAAAAGTCAATCCCCAGAGAGCTCCAGGCTAACAAGAGATACTGTGTGTGTGGACAGTAACTGAAGAATGGTGTGTGTGTGTGTGTGTGTGTGTGTGTGCTTTAATGACAGGGCATGACATTTTAACATCAACATCATTCCCTACCCCAATCCCAGCATCCACTATACATTTGCCATTCACGCAGTGTTTGCTCAGTGAATGCAAGACCTTCATGAGCTGAAGGAGATGGAAGAGCTGACCTCTGACCTGCCTCTCTTGTGCAGACAGTAGACCCGGAAGCCTGGGGCTTGATTGTATGAAGTTCATCTTCCCCAGTGCCTACAAAATTAAGCATCCTCTGGAGGTTTACAACTTAAAAAAAAAAGTTTCAGATCCCGTCTGACTCCTGTGTGGAAAAGGATGTACTTCCTCGTCCAGCTGGCCCAGTCCCTGCCTCCCCCCAATCCCTGCCCAACAGTTGCTACAGACCCAAAAAGGACTGGGAAGGAGGTTGGTGAACGCCGTCATGACCACAGCAACGAATTCA